TAGTGACTAGTGACACTGTAGCGGGGACACTGTAGCGGCGACTACGTTCTGATTGTTTGGCCAACAGCGAGCATACAGCCACGATTCCATGGAGTTGTTAGGTCCCGCGACCAGACAAGATTAAGTCCGTTGTCCTAGAGTACCTGAGTAGTTACCATAATTAGGACCAATACTGAACCTCGATGTGATACCAAATGAAACACACTGCTTGGTTGCCTTAGCGGCTTTAGCGGATTTAGGAAGATCGGTCAACAAGAAACATGCACTGACACTGTCTTGCACATGGCCATGGACCAGCTTCACCCATGACATTGTAGGGTTGCTAGGGCCGCTAAAACACAAGCAATGACTCTACCGACTCTACCGTGATACCCATACCGTGACTATGGCCGCACACTGCTGCAACCCATCCCAAAACTCCGAACAGTCTCTCCACGCTTCGCCTCTACCTTTGCTCTTCCGTCAAGGTTGCTTCTGCAAGTACTGCCGTAACTACTGCTGCTACCAGCTACCAACTACTCAACTACTCACGACACTGTATCTTTATCGAAACATATCCGAATCTATTTAAACCGTCTAAACGTCTAAACTCTAAACCTACCTACCCGCACCAAAAACACACAATTCTTCACGTCTTGCGAGTCTTGCGAGCCTCCTGGTTTTCCGTCTTCTTCTTCTCCGCTTCATCGGGGGACAATTGCTTCAGCTTCAGCAAGACACCGATCTCGTCCTGCATGGCTTGGAGAATCCACCCAAACGTGGGGTCGCTCTCGCGTCCCTCCGGCTTCCCGCCAGATTTTTCCTTCGAAGTTTCCCACACAGCGCACACCCTCATCCATTTGATGAGCCCCTTCTGGAAAGCCTTCTCCTCGTGCGTGCTGGCCTGGGCAATCTCATCCCACACTTCGTTCATGAAGCGCTCTGAGACTTGAAGCCGGAGGTCGAAAGGCAGCGACACGTCCTCGTCTTGCAACTTCAAGAGGGAGGCCAGCAAAGACGGAGGCGTCATCTTGCTAATGGCATTCGCTGGATTGATGAGATGATCCACGTGCTCCAGTAGTTCAACCCTGCTCGTCAGCAACGCGTGCTGGCTCATCCGGCCAGCTTTCATTGTGTCAGCGACTTTTTTGGCCTTGGTCGCGCTGCTCGCATCCAACATGTCAAGGACCCATCATACTGAGGCTGAGTCATGTAGGTAAAGTAGTATCTAGTAATCTAGTAAGCTAGTACCTATGACAACTCTGACAAATAGGATCACCTTGCAGTACGAGTAATGAGTAATGCCTCTGAAGTCTGCATCTACCCGTCTACTTATTACTTACTACTTGTATTCAAATAGTAAGTAGTAAGTACCAAATTACTAAGTAATCAGTAACTTCTTTTGAAATCAGCCCATGCAGTCTGGAGCTTCGATGGTTTCATGATGCATGCACGGGCCTGGGCTCGTGCCGTCGTAATAGTAAATAGTAGTAGTAGTAGTAGTAGTAGTAGTAGTAGTAGCAGTACTAGCAGTAATAGCAGTAGTAGTGGTAGTAGAAGTAGTAGTAGTAGTAGTAGTCGTAGTAGTAGAAGTAGTAGTAGTAGTAGTAGTAGTA